CTTTCTACCCACAGGTGCAGTCCAGCTCCCTCCCTTTAGATCTGGCTGGACTTGTGACTTGCTCTGATCAAGAGAACATAGTGAAATAAGTTACACTCCAACTTTTCCAGGCCCAGGTTTTACCAGTTCCTCATGATCCTAGAATCATGGGAGATCACAAGAAAAGAGGGACAAGAGTCAAGAATCAAGGTGTTCCAGCCAACAGCTTACAACAAAGTCCCAGACATCTCAGTGCCAAACCATCTTGGATACTACAGTTCAGGTCAAACCACTGCAGTTGATACCACAAGGGGCATATGGGTCTTCCCCATGCTTCTAACCCACTGAACTCAGAGATTGGCATCAATGTGTTCTAAGTCTTTAGGCTTGTAGATCATTTGCTATGTCACAATAGAAAACGAAAACAGGCATTTGTGGTTCCCCGGCTTCTCTATGGAGCAGCTCCACTGTCTGGAGCCCTGGGCTCTCTTTTTTCAATACAACCGTCAATTCACGCCTAGATTCCTTCAAATCAGTATGGCAAGACACAAAGCAAATCCCTTACATGGAATATTTTTGACAAGAGAATGCTGCAGCAACAACTGTGTGGAACCTGTATGGTTCTAGGAGGAGCGGATAGGCCCTTACAGGATTATGGTCAAAGAGGGGCTACAACATATTTCTTCAACTGGGATTTCAAGACCCTGCCCAAACACAGCATTAATTATTACACAGGAAAGCTGTCATTTCTATGTATTTATGTGTGAGTGATTCTGGAAAATTATAATCACTAAATATAGCAGAATGTTCACTAAATATCATCAACCAAGATTTTAATCCTGGGAATTTTAAAGGACAGAAAAGTGCTCTGGAAGTGATGGCTGAAATTCCCTGTTGGCAGGGAGTCTGTCCCAAGTGTTGCCTCCAGAAAGCAATAGTCCAGCGCATGGCTTCAGATACTTAAGGCTGCAGTGGGGCAAACACTGTAAGCTTCCAACAGAGATAGAGGCAGTCAATCTCCTCAGGCCAGTCCTGAAGCTACACTTACTGAGGCGAGCAGTTGGCACAGTGATGCACTGTTTGGGATACCAGCATCCCGTCAGAGCACCTGGGTTCAAATCCTGCTATAACCCCCAATTCCAGCTTCTAACTAATGTGTACTCTAAGAGGCAGCAGCTTAAAATTCAACATGAATCCCTACCATCCACACAACAGACATGGATGGAGATCTGGGCTTCTGGCTTTGGCCTGGCCCAGCTGTTGAGCTGCTGAGGGCATTAAGGGAGTGATCTAATGGATAGGAGATTTAACTGGGTCTGTCACCCTTCCTATCTCCCTGCTCCTTTCAAATGAAAATCACCAACCAAAGAAGAATCAAGTAAAGCTAAATTTGACAAATAATAGAGGCTTTCTCCCCAGCACACATGCAAGTCTTGCATACCACTTTGGTCCAACATGAATTCCAGATGAAAATCCCTGCTGTGGAGGAGGTGGGCCATGGGCTCTGTGAGACCCACAATGTGTACACTGGCGCAGCCTCTGTCCCTGGAGCACTTTCTCTCACACTCCCTCACTGGCTCTCACAGAGACATAAATCTGTGATTCATCCTAGTCTCTGGCACAGAGGAACAGAGAGCACACAATGAAGCCCTACAACATTCTTCTTAGACGTACATCACCAAATCAACATCAGAGAGGAACATGATTTATGGCCCCCAAATTAGGTGAGCATTATCATCAACTCCTTGCCCATGTATTTACAGGCTATGCATTTCATGGTTCACTTCTATTTCTGAAGGTCAAACCCTACCAGCTACTATTCTGTCCCCAGTGGCATAAGATCCCTCTCTCTTGCCAGTTATTTCTGAAAGTTTTCTGGCTTTGAAAGACCCAAACATACCCAAATAGTTCAAACATAACTAGATGCTGCCTCTTATTAAGTTCAGGTATGTTCTTAGGGTAGGAAATTTAATCGAAATGCTCCTTCTTTAGAGACTGGTCTTAACATTTAAAAACTACTGAGTTATTTTTTAAATAATTAAAAATACCATTTAGGGAAAGGAAAACTTGAGTTCTATTTTCAGAAAATTATGCTGACACTGCTAAAAACAACAGTTTACAGTTATTTAAGCTTTTGCTTTTTGTCAGATTCTTCACATCAATTGGCTCACTTGATCCACACACACAAACATTAACAAAGTGTGAGGGACTGACGAATTGATCATCAAACTTGCTTCCTCTCCTCTGAGCATATAGGTTGCTTCTCCCAATCTCCACTGCAGTTATGTGTAGCCGTGCACAGCAGGTGTCTCCCAGGCTTGGCACATGAAATCTCACACAGTCTTCCATGTTCTCTAGTTCTCCCTACTAGCTGGCTGACCACAGAAAATCTGTAAAGCCAAACACAGAACTACAAGCTGAGGGATCCTGGAGGCTGTCACTGCACAGGGGGCACACTGAAGGGCACCAAACTGTTGCCATGTGAACAGAACATGAATATTTGTTCCCCAGTCACAGATATTGCATGGATTATATGGCAGTGGGACACCACTGAATGTACGTTTCTGAGTAGAGAGAGGTTGAGTAATTAGGATGCTCAGTGGTATCTGTGCAAAACGGAGGTATGGGAGTTAAACCCACATTCTAAACAAAGTTATTCAACCACCTATGAATGTTTTATTCTGTTCCTTTCACAAGTTCATTTTAATTACATGTTGCATAAACTCCTAAATGCAACCTCTGTACTGGGGTTTGGGGTGTGTGTTCTGTATTTGAGGGAGGTAGATGGGCTGGGCTCCAAAGCTACAAACAGAAAAAAGACATTCTTCTCAAATAAATCATTTCATTTCTATATGATATTAACCAGTGCTTGGGTGGGGGGTAGAGGTGGGGATTCTATTGCTTAAGCAGTTTGGTGGAACATGCCTGCTGACTTGTGAAAGTTTATACTGACAGGTTCTCTGAACGTTACATAATACTTCATAACAACTTGGTCCTAAAACCTAACAGCTTAAAACAACACACACTCCTCTCTCCTACCTTTTGTGTACTTGGACTCTCGGAAGAGCTCACTAGCACACTTCCTGCTCAGGATCTCTAATGAGACCCTCAAGACGTCAGCTTGTGCTGCTTCACCTGAGGGCCGGGTGGGGGCTGGACGGTCTACTCCTACCTAAGGTAGTTCAATTAGGTGGCTAGGAGTCTGCCTGCTTGTTGGCAAGAGGCCTCAGTCTCTTCACCAGGGCTGCATGCTGTCCTTACAACATAGGGGCTTACCTCCTGTGGTGGGCAAGATTAGAAACCAAAGCAAAAGCTGCAAGGCCTGTTAGCACCAGTTTCAGAAGTCATGCACCATTACTTCTATAACACCTGCTGATCTCACAGGTCATTGCTATTCAGAGTCAGAGGGGATGGCTGAAGGAAGTGAATATCAACAGGAAAGGATGGTGCACTATTCTGGAGGTTTAGCTGTCACATTCATCCAGCCCTTGTATAGCAAGAGCTTGCTGAGGAAATGGGACCAATCAGTGTACAAAACAGACAAAAACCCTGTTAGGAAACACAGGAGAGCCCTGCAGGAAGTCTGCAGAAATGGAATATGAAGATACGTTATTCTGGTGAAAAATATTTTGAATTCTCTGCGACTCACTTTCCACGAACGCCCTGAGTTACCCTCCCAAGTACCAAGTGAAGAATACAAGGGCAATAGGCCTGCTAAGTCAGCAAACTGCACTGTGCGCTAGAAAGTACAATGCAAACAGATAAAGAGGGGGAAAGGGCAAGCTGGAAGGTGGGAATGCTAGTTGGCTAAGGCAGAAAGATCCAGAAAGGCCTCACCCAGAACAAGTGTTCCTGGTAGAGCTGACAGCAGCTTTGAAGGTCTCCAGCAGTAAGCACCCCTGCTGTGTCTAAGAGCAGGAATGCAGGTGGGTGAAGGAGATGCAGGACCTGAGGTCAGGTAACGCACAGTGCACGGAATGCAGGAAGGACCCATAGGACCTGTAAGTGCTCTTTTACTTTGGGTAAAACGGGAAGCCACTGATGCTTCTTAGCAGATGACTGCCAGGATCTGAATTATCATTTTAAAAATACTCTGGTGTCTGATGGAACAGACAGGTTGAGGGTGGAAGCTAGGGAGCAAATGGAGAGGCACTCGTAATAATTCAGGCAAGAAGTGACGGTGGCATCCATTGGTGTTATCAGTGGAGATGGTGAGAAATGGTCAGGTTCTAATTTATTTTGCATGTATAATTCACCATCTCAGCTGAATTATAGAGCATAATTAATTCACTTGTCCAAGCCAAGTTTTTATTTAGAAAGAACAGCTTTTTTTTTTTATTGGCTGCCGGAGTGGTAGGTGCCAAGTGCTGCCCTAGGGAACTCTGGGGCAAGTTCTGAGAGGTGACACAGGGATTTGACATGGGCAGCAATGGAGTGGTACAGACAAGTGAGGCCTTAAGTCCTCTATCCCCAGCTTTACAAGGGCATCTATGCCAGCATGCTTCCTAATGTGTGCGTGGGGGGGGGCAGCCAGGCAGTGGGGGAGGTTAGAGGTGGCACGGGGAGGTGGGAAAAGGCTTCTTAAGAACACACTGCAGTAAAATGACAGGCTATGCTTATACACACATGCACACATTATACCAAAAAAAAAAATCAACCAACTATAGCAAAAATATAGACAACACAAATGTAAGTTTACAAATGCAATATTTAAAACCCCCCACCATAAATAACCAAGAAGACAACAAAGTAAAAAATAGGCAAAGGACATTGAAAAGTGAAGCTCTAATCATCTCCTGTGATGGTAAAATGAGTCCTCAAGACAGAATGAATGGTCCACATGGCTGCTCACCATTGGCCTACCACAACTGTGACAATCACAGCCACTGCCACTTCCTTCACCAGTACTGCTAGCAATTTCATGGCCATCACAGAGGAAGAGCCATTCAGCAAGGCAAACCTGAGTCGGCTTGAGGAACCAACTCACAGTCTCCGCACCCCCCTCCCCAGGAAATGATTACCTTTTCATGGTTTTCTATTAAGATCTCGATGACAATGTTCTGAAATTTGATGTCCATGATGGCAGCTACTGTTTCTTCCTGAGGTCGCAAAAGGGTGGGTCCAAACACCACGCCAAGGTTAGCTACGGTCATCAAATTCTGCTTATGATTGTTAGCAACACTGGGAAGAAAGGAAAAAGACACAAATGAGAGAAGCGGTGTATGCAAAGTCAACTGACCTGGGCATGATCCCCACACTCTTCTCACCTTCCTACGGGAGACTTCTTTCAGCAGAAACCACAACTTTAAGTGCCAAAAGTCAACAGTGAGACTTTTCTACTTGTATCTCTGTCCACCAAAGCAACAGAAATGTTTATCCCCTAGACTATCTGCTGTGTCAGGATGCAACACTCCTGATCATTTTCATTTTACCTAAAATGCCCAACCAGCCAAAGGAACTAGCTGTCAAATTACAAACCTTCCACATCTGAATCCCTGTTGTGCAAGACCACGTAACTGCTAATCTCTCTTAGTTGCAACTTATGTACTTGGCCGCTGCCTAAACCGCTGAGCTCATTAGCATTTTCTCTAGTGCAAATATAAAAACTCTTAATGGCTTTAATACTTCTGCAAACATGGGCTATGCAGAAAATGGGCAGATCTAGATTTTAAAACCAAGTCAGGAAATTCGGTACTTCAGACTCACATTATTAAAGTTCCATCAAGTTAAACATTTGACTTATTTAAGTGAAACATACAGCATAACGAGAAACAAAAATGTACTACTATGTACTCATGTAGATGGCTGTGTTTATCTTGCCACTTATACACAAAACTGAAGGAACACACAGGGCCAGTTGTAGCTGAGACTGAATAACTTGCTAAATACGAATGCATATTTTTGGGTCAACAACTGGCTCCAAATGCATATCTGAACTTCACACCCAGGCCACTTCAACTCGGCAATAAAACTCAATTGTTCACAAGCTAGTTCTCTCCCCTCCCCCCAAATATGCAAATTATCTTTTAGCAACAATTAAGGCAAATGTTAATGTCATTGAGTATTGTTGGGAAATATCAGGAACTTCCCTATATCACCTGCTAGGGGAAAAAAAAAAGCCATTTATTACTCATTTGAAACTAGAGGGAAACTGGGCAGAGACCAGCAGTTTGCAAAGATCTACCTCCCTAGCATTTGGTCTTATTTAACCTGAGTAGACTTTCAGAAGTGTATAAATGCCTACACTGTTTCTCTTCTATACTTCCATTCTGTATGAGGAAGAGGATTCACACTGCCCTAAGTGTTGAGTTTTAAACTAAATATTGAGTTGGAACCTCTGCTGAAACAAGACATCAACCAGCCTTATCAGCACACAGGTCCCTTTCTAAATTGTTTAGGGCAAGGGGCTTTCATCTAACTCCCTCCTCTGAGGCAAGAACTATGAAACTTCTGCTGTGGCTAGGCTTTTGGATCACTAAACAACACCTGCAGGAGGGAGAGTGTCCATTGGTATACTTGGCCCATGGCTGTTCTATTTAAGGATAATGCATCAACATTTCCTTGGTCCTAGGCACATTTTAGCTTTACATGTAGTTTCCCATTCTGTCTGGAACTACAGTGCATCTCCAGAGACTGCCAGAGTTAATGCACATGGTTCCGGGCGGCAGTCAATCGCCAGGTATGCATAATTACAAGCTGCTTCTAACATCACTGCTTTCAACATCAGCTCCTATGTGTGGGAAGGGAATTCTGTGTCCTGATACTTCTCATCCCAAATGAGCTGAGTCAGTAGCTTGACCTCTCTTGTCACAAAAGTCCCTTGTACAAGCGGATCAACAAGCTACATATATATGAAACAGACCAATATAAATATACATGATTTGGAGGATGATCACTGTTCACCATTGTGCTTCTCTACACAATAGTGAACTGAACCAAGAGCCTCATACCCAGACTCGGGTTATCACCAGTTACTGTCTGAAACCCAGCCCTGAGCACACAAGTCTCACACCTCTCCTGGCTGCTGCAGAGAACACAGTGGTAGGCCAACTGTGAAATACTTAGCTTCTATTACCTAACTGGTCTGATAATGAATAGAAACCTCTGTTGGGCCCACTGTTTAACATATATCTCAATGTGCAAATTGCACACCTTCATCACATCACTTCTAAGCTTTCCTCCATTACCTTCCAGTCCTGGGTCCCTGGGCAAATGACTCCAATAGGTCTAAGCTTTGAGTTCCTTGTCTTTGAAAACAAGAGGAGTTTGGGGGGTGCATAACACACCCATTGCAGAACCCTGCCATGCAGAAGATGTGGATCATGCATGGGAAATAAAGTGTTTTCATAATATATAATCCACTCTGCATTCTCTAATATTGCTCTGCCTTTGACTTTGTCACTCTTCTGCCTGCAACGTTCTTACTGCTCTGTCTTCTCTTGTAGAGACCTTCAGAGCTCAGCTCCCACGGTCCCCTTCATTTCTTGTACTACCCTTTCCCCTTCCTTAATTGTTCACCCCTGATATAGGCAGAAGTGTCACTTTGCTTCTGCATGTTGCTAAGGGCTATGCTTGGTAGTGAAGCAAAAACAAATGTTCAGAAGGCAAGGGAAGTTTCTGCAGAGACATAAAGCAGCTTTCTCAACCCAGCTACTTACTCATAAAATTACAAACTTACTGATGATTTGGGGCGAATTCAGCTCAACTATCCCAACCTCCCTTCTCTGTCTTAAACTGTGTTCTATGTCTCAGATTTAATTAATGAGTAATAATTACTATGATTTACAGGTCCCAATGGCCCCAAGGTATTTGGATAAAAGGTACAGTAATTCTGGATCAGCAACTTGGAATATAAATAGGCCTGAGGCTACCTAACATAATTCATTTCTATTTTAATGACTTGTTTCATTCTAGAACTTAAAAAATACCCTAATCTAAGTCTTAGGAAACTTTCAAGACAAAAACTACACCTTTCATTTCTAACTACCATTATCTTTTGGCGAACAAAACTAATAAACTAATCTGTCACTTGATTATTACTGTTCACAACGTGGTACAGTCAGGTTCATTACCCCAGAATGAATTATTAATGACTTGAGATCTCTGTATCCCGGTGAGAAAGGCCTAGACCTCAGCCTCTGCTGGCACCAGCCATCCATTATGGCTTGATGGATTTACAGACGTGTGGGAAGCAGGCTGGCAGAGAGCTGGGAAGCCAGTCCAGCATAGGCCACGGGACTCATTCATTAGCAAGGCCCATAAAACACTGAGAGCCTGCTTTTTGTTTTGGTAACTGAGCTGCCTGAGCTCTTCCTCACAGCTCAGAAAGTCGTGTCCAGTCTTGACTTACAATCCACACACAACACTTTCTTGTGCACTATATATGCTGAGCTCGAGTCTCTGGCACAGGTTTTTCTGGTCCCTGTATCCACATGGACGACTCTGCTGAAATGCTTTCTGAGAAAACTGTCAGGTCCGTACAGCCATCCTTGGAAGGCTGAGGAGACAGGTTGCACATGTTGGACACACAACTTGCATTTTGGGGTGGCTGTTCCTTTAGGACCATTTGTGTTTGGGGCAGACCTGAGAAGCAGTCCACAGTCAAGGCAGGTTTTGAGGCATTTGGACTCCAAGTTCCATGGTGCGCCCACGTGAAATACGATGGAGAGTGAAGAGCATGTTCTGATGAAAATGGCTGTGGCACTTTTTTTGTTTTAAGAAAAAATCTTGTTTAAGAAAAATATATGAGGACTCTATATAAGTCTGATATCCGCTGGGAGTCAGAAGGAGGCAAAGCACTACGAGCTAATGGTAAGGGTTATGACGGTGGTAGTGGGGTGTCCTGAGTGGTAGAATAGCCAACCCTTTTGATATCCCACATGCAGAGCCCTGCATGTTGTTATAGGGATCACATCTGTTTTACTGAAGCTCAAATAAAAGCTCTGTGGATGCTAGGCAGTACATTACAATCACAGGCCAGTCCTGAATACTCCAACAGCATGTAAGTCTGTAGTGGTGTCTGCAAGCAGCTTTCCTCTTGAGAGGCTTGCAGCACTCTGTCAAGCAAAGTCAAAACTGAGCCTGTGTTCCACCGGACACTAGGAAGTGAGACTGGCCCTGCTGTCTGAGGCACGTGGGTGAAGGATAATACACCCTCACTTACTTATCATCCTTTATTTGTTTGTTTCAGTTTCTAAAGCTAAATATAATGAAAACTTAGAATTGAGGGAGTTTAAGGCTTTACAAAAAGTTCTATGATAACTTACATGTGCTCATCTGATTTTCATAGTAACTCTAGATTATCAGCTCCCAATCAACAAAGACACAAGATAGAAAATACATTTTCACATTTTCCCATACAACATGTCATCAGAGCATATGTACCTATATTCATAAGTGCATGCACACATCAAATCAGAAATTAAGTTTCAGAAATGATACATGTGATTCTGATACTTTGTTTTTTCTCTCTAAACTGATTTCATAATTCACCTTTGCACCATGAACTGTAATTTGAAAAACACTGTTGTAAGAGTACAAAGTGCAAATAGTATCTCCAATTTATAAACATGGAAAATAAGGCCAAAGAAGACTGTGTGGTATAGTGGCTGCAGTCAGAAAGAAACTCCTCACTAAATGACAAGCAAATTATTTGGCGCCTCCAAATCTGTTTCCTCTCACATAAAACTGCAGCAGTCATGCCTCCCTCATAGAATTGGAAGGCTGAGAGTGTGATGATGTAACATCATGTATGAGACAATGGCTTCATACATGGTAGCTGCTATTATTGTCACAGCAGTAATGAAGGCAGTGGTACAAGCAGCAGCAGGTGCCAATTTAAGACACACTGCTAGTTGCTGGTTTCACTTGATACCCTCCCTAGAAACTTCTAGTGATCTGCTTCTGGCCTTACACACCTGTATTTGAACGACTTCTGTTCTACATATATTTCCATTCTTTTTCCTTTTAAGTAATGAAATACTGCAAATCTATGGAACGGGTCAAAGCACAGTAGCACTTACTTTGCTTCACTTCCCTAACAGCATCTCTAGCACATTACACTGAGGGGCTTCTGTAAAGCCAAAACAAAGGCACCATCAAGCTCAGACCCCCAGCCTGTCTAGCACGTTTCCCCGTAATCATCCAAAGTCTTCATCCTGGGAAACTCAGCTCTGGGCACT